AACAGAATATGATTTCCTTACACTTCTCCTTCTGAGCATGGAAAGTTATAAATTCTATTATCCAGTTCCACAAATAGACTCTATGTACTGGTCTTTTAAACTGTCGGTTACAGATCGTACCAGTATAACTGAATTTTAAACCCATTATAATGGTTAATGTATCCCAATGATCCAAGACATTATGACCTCTCTCAGACAAAGCCAATGATTATTTGATTATTTTATAATTTCACATGTCAACATCTGAGATTTACTAAAGTTTAAATTCCAGCAAAAACAGTGACTTCTCATTGTTAGCATGTTGCAATCGAGAGAAATGCCTAGCCTAATTTAAAGCCTAATTTTCTGGGGCTAATCAAACACAGTGGTAATAGTGATAACATGGTCAGCAAACCATTTGGGAGGAGCTTCTTTGGAATCACCAATCTTTCCTGGCCAAATTCCCAAAGAGAAGAATCCAGATAAACAAACAACAAAAACATCTCTGTAGAAATGATCCATATAAGATGATCATTTTTTAACAGTGTCTATGGCAATATTGAAGTGAGGGACTAGTTCACAGTAATAACATGGTCAGCAAACTATTTGGTAGGAGTTTCCTACCAATCTGGATATAAAAGGAAATCCATTCTGCATGAAGCTTGTCAGCAGATGGAAGCATTAGGTGTCTCCTGGTAGACAGCTACACTCCCGTTGGACTTTAGTGTGACTGTGAAACAACCATGACCAAAACCAGCTGACAGCGTGTTACCTCAAATCATCACAAACTTTCGAAACTTCTCATTGGACACCTTGGATTCTGTTGCTCTCCACTCTTCCTCTAGACTCGACTTGATTTTCAAATGAAATACAAAATTTGCTTTCATCTGAAAATATGACTTTGGACCACTGAGAAACAGACCAGCTCCTTTGCTTTTTACCTTAGCTCTGCTAAGATGCTTCTGACATTGTCTTTAATTAAATGGTGAATTTATAAAAGGAGCAACATCTGTGCACGGTGCTTTTGATGCACCAGTACAGCCTCAGTACACTCTCTGTGAAGCTCTCCCAAGTTTCCAAGTGGATATTTATTTATCTATTTATACTATTTTACTCAAGCTCAACATTATTTTTTTATGACTTCTGATTTTCAAATGTTTTGAATGTAATGAATACAGAATATATGGAAGTTGATGTTTTTTATAGGATTTTTTTTTTTGCAATATTCAAATATTCTTATATGCAGTAGTAACGGTTTTGAGTTATATGCTTTATAATCAAATGCAGTAATTTCTTTGTAAGCTTTGTTAAAGAAGGGCCAGCAATTAATACTTCATTTTAGTTTTTGTCAGGATCAAGTGAAACAGGTCTCTCTAGAAACCCCAAACCCAGTTTGACCACCATGCAGTTTTGACAAGGATGTGCCAAGCTTACTTTTACAGTTTTTGCATTCTGATTTTTATACTAAACTCATATTAGAAAGACCAAGTGAGAAAACATTTTAAAAATCTTCAGGAGAAATATAAAGTAACCCGTATGGAAACCATCTATTGGAAACCACTTAGTTGGCTTCATACTTAATTTTAGTGCTAAAGTCACAAAGCATGTAACCAATGCCACATCTTCGCCCTCAGATGTACTCGACAGTGCTTTGACTGTATGTATCTCTGCCTCTTTAGTAGAATCATTTAAAAAAACACAGAAGAAGAAGATTTTAAAAAAAATACACAAAAAAGTAAAGATCAAGTCTGACATAAGAAATGCTAAATGCGTATGACAGCTCATTTATTTGTTTTTCTCCCAATGTGAAATTTTATAAATACAGAACTTTGGTAACATTTTACTTTAAAGTCCTGCATCACTTAACAGTTACTGCATCAATTTATAGAGTCAAGCCTAAACTGTTTTATCAGATTTACTTCAATAGTTTGAGAGATACGTATGTTTTTCTTTTTCAGGCCAATTAGCCAATTGTTGATTACAACATTTAGATAGAATATTTGTATCATTAATTTCATTATCTGTCTAAGGTGCCATGGTTTGCAAGAGAGTGTGGATACCCATGCAAAAATATCCAGTAGAGTCAGCATGGCCTAGCTGAGCTCTCACTAAAATTAAAAACATTCAGACTTGTCCAATTATAGCTCCATTGTTTAACCCAAACACCAAAAAGATCTCTAAAAATGGCTTCAGTGGTTTTAGTGTGGATTTATGTCATCTTGGTCATGCCCCAGCCATAAGTAAAGGTGGGATTCCTTAAAATATAGATATTAGAATATTTTTTAAACAAATTCCAATTCATGGTAAAATAACTAGAGGAGCATCAGCAGACTGAAGTAAAATGGGTGCATATTCAAAACAGCTTAAAACTACTTTATATAAATAACATTAATAGAAATAATAATAGTAAACTAAACTTTTCTACATTTTAGTGGTTCAAAATGAAAACTGACTTACAATATATCCAAACATTTACCACAAATCATTTTGCACATAACTGTCAAGATTAGACAGGACTGCAAAGTAAAGTTCAGGTTTATGTTAACAAGCATATTACTGTACATTCTGGAGAATTCCTGAGTTTAGCCTCCCACGATGCATGAGAGAAGAAGAGAATCCAATGGAGCACAGAAAGAGAGAGAAAGCTGCCAGTGCTTTTATTTTATACCAGTCCAAAAAATACCTGCTGAACAATATTGAAAGACAATACTGGTATCATTCATTTAAAAAACCAGAAAAGAAACAAATGCTTTAAATATCAAAGTATGCACAGATTGTGTCATTTAGCCCCAAACTCTAAGCACAGTCTTGTCTGTTGTGTTCTTCTGTTGTGCATTTCACAGTCATCTCCTGACAGAAATCCACTGTTACAGTGGGGCTACATACTTCGTCAGTAGATTCAAGCACTAGTGAAAGCTCAGGATCCTCCTGCCTCAGAGGCAACATCTCCTCTGCGGGCTGCCTGTCCTCTAACCCCTCCTGATTGGCATTCAAATTAGATGTACAAGCAACCTCACTTTGTTGGGTCACAGGTGACGTGGGTAGGACAGACCCGTCCTCAGTTGAAGGTGATGAGGGGTTGGATGTGAGATCAATGCTGGCAAAGTTGGGTGATGGCTGGCTGCCTTGCACCTCCCTACACACTTGCTGGGAGAGGAACGAGAGGTTCTGCAACAGCTCGGACATACAAACCTTCAGCCTGTTTCGCTCGCTAAGCAGCTTCTCCTTCTCACGTACCTGGGTTCATAAGACAAAGCATCATCAGGTTATCATGACATTGCTGTTCCCTCATTGCTGATCACTTCATCAGGTTAACTGCAGCCCACTTCCTGTCTGGCCCCACACCTGTCATTCCAGTTATAAGCCTGTGAAGAATCTTTTAACTCAATCTCATGTCTACACGAGCAGCCTCTTTGCTTTTCAATAAAAGTTGCATTGTCAAGTTTAGACCTAGTACAATTTATATATCATATATTGTTACATTACTGACAAGTGCTTACAAGATTGATATCAGTGAGTTTCTTAATAGGCGTAATAGCACCGGAGCTGGGAATCAATGTAACAACTGTCAATATATTCCAACAATGTACAGCAGGAAAAAGCCCTGCAAAATTGTCTGTGAAGGTTCTCAGTCATCCAGGTCATCGTAGTCAAAGGAGCTTGCAAAGAAAAGCGTCTGGACTTCTTTAAGTT